GCTCGTCGAAATCGATTATCGGAAACGGGGAGGAAACAAGGGAAGGCCGTAATCGTCTGATTTAGAATTAAAAACTTCCATTTCATTTCACGCGAAATGATAGATTCGTGTTGTTCGTCGTAGTTAAAATTCCATTCGAATTCGACAACGAAATTTATGCATCGAACTCGTCCTCGTTCGAAGCCCGTGAAATCGAGAAAGAAAAAAGAAAACAAATCGTCAGTAGAGGGAAATTATCGTCAAAGTTCTTAACCCGACTTTCTTCCTTGGCCAACAAGGAATTCCTGTTTTCAACGATCCGTGGCTGCCTGCCTCACAACAAGTAAGAGATGGCCCCGATGAACGCCGAGGTTCATCGTGAACGGTCGGAATGCAACGGCGAAAGTCAGGGGATGCGAGAGCACGAAGCGACGATAAAACAGGCGGACGGACAGGGGGCATGATGGAAGATGGAACGGTCTTCCGGTAATCGATTCCGGTATGCTTCCAAGTTGGAAGAAGAATAAGGCGAGGAGACGAACGGAAGGAAGGGGAGGTAAACGAAAAGCGGGTTGGCAAGAAGACCTGTTTAAAACGCCATTTAATTTTCCTTCATGAATCATTTAGAGTATTCTTCTACCCCTCCCCTGCCCTTCCTTATTGCCGGTTCCCTTTCATTCCGCTCCCGATTCCGCCCAGTGGCGGATGCCTGAGCGGCAAGTTTCCCTCCTCATTACACGGGTAATATATGTATATCCGTCTATCGTTTAAATATTCACGAGGGGGTTCCGGTGTCGGGTAGATTCGCGAGGCAGATACAGGGAGAGTCTTACGAACTCCCTTTCGCCCGTCCTTTTCTCCCATTCTACGCCCTCCAGTCTTGCCTCTTTTTTCCTTTTCTCTCCTTCTCCCATCTCTCCCGTGTCCGCCCTTGTACGTACAACTGGCTCTCCCGTCTTCCGCATCCGTCGGGGACTGACTTCGAGAACAGCTAAGGGGGATGGAAGAGAAACACGAGTGCCATCCTGCCTTTTGTGGATCCTCTCCTTTCCCTGCCTCTCTCGCGTTTCGAGATCGCGTCAAGTGTTACTGTACCAGTTTTTGGCGAGACGTGGTAGACGGTAGTTCATTTATAGTTTGCGAGATAAAAATATACAGGATATGTTCTGCTAGTAAGATTCTGGGCTAGTAAGGTTGAGGTATACAGAATGCTCGAGAAGAATCTTTTATAAATATCGAATGACCGCTCTCCCCTCTTACGAATATTATTTGCGATATAACTTTTATAAAGAGACTGTGTAGATTCGAGATGGTAGTGGAAATTATTCAGATTTCTTTTCTTTTCTTTTCAATTTTACGATTCGCGTCAACGAATGTATCGAAATCATCGTTTCAAGGAGGAGGGAAGATCTTTTTTTTATTATTATTAGTTTCAAAATCGATCCTATGATCCGGGGATAATCTTTTGGCATCCTTTCAATTCGTATAATGGAGACGGCGATGTTAACAGCGCGTAATATACTTTTCCCGGACTCAATCGGTTTAGAAAGTAGCCGTTGGACCTTGTTCCCTTATCGCGAAGGATTACGAGCGGATAACTCGGATCATCACGCGTGTCTCGTAATGGTACTTTTGTTGTCAAAACGTCGGCCATTAACTTTACGATTCACCGTGCATTAAATGTAGATCTCGATGCGCGCATAATTCCACTACATCTCGAATCTACGAGTCTTCATAAAAGTTATATCGCAAATAATATAGAGAAAGTAATAAAATGGTGAGCCTTCGTGCCGAATATTAATTGGATAGAATTATGATATCGTTACTGATATCGTTATTAGCTCTAATCATGAAGCGCATCGGTGTTCCATAGTTTTAACGAGCATGTAATTATCCGTATAACGATACGAGATTTTCGAATTAAACTTGCTTTGTCACGGAATAAGGATAAAAAGAAAAAAAAATCGTACTATAGGTTTACAACGTGTTTATTAATGCAATGCTTTTTCCGTCGAATATCGATTTTTCGAGGGAGATCGCGTTTGAAGCGAGGAAAAATGGAAAATCGAGAGAAAGCGATTCGAGATTTTCGAACGGTCTACGCGGATCGCAAAAACCTTCCTAGACTCGGACCATTACTCGGACCATAGCACGGTCGGATAATTATACCAAAAGAAAATAAAAAAGTTGGCCGTTTCGTTTTGGTGTACCACGCGAAAAAACGCGTTTTCGTTCTTTATTTCGTTTCGTGCCACCGGTATGCACCGATTATTCCCTCCCCTTTCCATCGTTGTTTTCACGCCTGTACGCCGCGTGTCTACCAGGATGGAGAATTTTTTCCATCGCAAGTTCTCTAATCTGGGTAACAACGATCGGCTACATTTTTAAATCAGTGATTATTAATGTTACGATTTTTAACGTTGTCCTTTCATTTATATGTTTCGCAATAGGCGCAATGATCTTCGTCCATACGATCCTGCACATTAATTTTCCAAATTATGCAATGACGTTTTATTTATTAGATTATCTCTTTTCGATTTTTCTTCGATTATAAACCGAATTGAAACGATGTGGATCCGATAAAAAAAAAAAAAGATCGTTGGCGTCCGCCAAATCAGACAGGAATGAATTTTAACGTCGATGTCATTTTGCGAACTCAATTTGCATACAATAGGGAAGAAAACGAACATAATATCCCCTCGTAAACGAGACATTATTGGCAAAAATTAAACCGCGTTACAACGATATCTCTCGTTATCGAAAAATTCGCCACTTCGTTTCGTATCTAGAGTAAAAAAAAAACTGGATAACTGGTTTCCTTTCAACGATAAGAAATGGACCAGATATCGGTCCGTTCAAAAGCAGCAATAGTATGCAAACTAAAACAGACGATAACTTGTAATCTTCTCGAATTAATGAGATAAATCTGAGATAAATCTCTGATATCTCGTATCGAGATGCTGAGACATTTCTTCTCCTCCGAATCACGCGAAGAATTTTTACTCGGAATATAATCATTATTTCAATTACAAAGGAATTGTTCAATCAAAAGAATTATAAAAAAAAAAAAAAAAGAATTCAATCACTAACCCAAATAACTTTTACTCACGTTTATCGAGAATTGCCACAGAGGCGACTAACATCCATGAATATTAAACGCGATCGTAATCGTTGTTGAATTATTTCGTCACAATTAAAAGACAAGCAACGACAGTTGTTGGACCGTTTAAGATCACGAACAACCTCGTAACCTCGTACAAGTCCCCGAGGCGTAGCCAAACCGTGTGCAAGATCCTGTAAAGATCGTTGACGCGTTTATTGCCCTACTCCCCCCGGTGTTCCTCGGCCAAGTTGGTCGCGACACTTGGAACACCCGGTACAATGGCCACACTCATGCATATGGAAGTCGGCCGTGACACGTCTGCATCCTGCCATGCAGGCCAGTATCAGAAGTGTGAGATAGCTCTTCCTGTACGGGCCTCGGCCCGGCCCCTGCTGGCTTTATCGCGCCTCTATTAATTACCGCGATCTGCCATAAATTCAGAATAATAGTTAGGATTTACTCGAGACAGTGGCCAGGTTAAACGATCACATTAAATGCACATGGTCGCGGGGAAATAAGGGACTTCTCGGTCAGATAATTACGAGGAGCAAACGGGCCGATATATTTCAGAGCAAAGGGTTTCCTTCCTTCCACCGTCTTTAATCTTTCGCTTAGCTTTGTCAAGACGTTATCCCCGGAATCGTACAAGTTCCACGATATCTTAGTAGCGATATCTTCCTTTATTTATTTTGTTTCGCTTCGTATTGTTCCATCGAGATTCGGTCGACTTGACTTCCGGGGGGATTGAACTCCTCTCTCTCTCTCTCTCTCTTCGATCGAGTTCCTCGTAGGATCCTCCCTTGTTAATACTTAAGACTGCGGCTTCCTGCGATGGCGGCTTAGAAGCCGTTCCAGTTTCAACCTTAATCGCGTCTTAATGAAAAAGGGAGGCAGAAAGTTGGTTGACGAAGATTGAAATTGAAACGTCCGCCGTTAGATTTTCGGGAGGAGGGAAAAGATCTTAAGGGATTCGGGGGAGGCGATTCCTGTGTGTATTCCACTTTTAAGCCGTGAACACCTCGCGCGCATTGTTTCGTCTCCCTAAATTCTCACACTCAGGCGAGCGCGTCTTATCCGGGAGAAGGAACAAGGGTCTCTTGAACGCTTTATGCTTCGAGACAAAACGCTTTTCAAAAGTTTACACGATGGTCCTTGTCAGCTCTTGTCGTCACTCCCGCTCGCCGAGAGATGATACCAGTAGTCCGTGGAAGCCGATTACTCGGGTTCACCCGGTGTATTATCTTGGCGAGAGAGATACCTAAGACGGCCGAGAACCTTTTGTACTCGCGCAACTCGCCGCGATGTTGTATATGCCATTGAAATTTCATGAGATGGAGGACTGGTGTATTGTTAACATTGTCCACTTAATAGCCATAGAAGTTAGTCTCTCTCTCTCTCTCTCTTTCTCTCTTCTAGGCGAAACGGAATCTCGAATGTTTCGAGGCGCAACGACACGTCTTCCGTGTCGCTGTTCCACAGGATATTCCTTCGAGGATGCGAGAGTAAAACTTATCCTTAATACGCTACGTCCGACATGGTCCGTTTCTACTAGCTTCGTTTCAGATGGAATCCGTGTATATTTGCCAAGAGGGAAGGACGATGAAGGATGATAGAGAGGAAGGGGAAATAAAAAAGGGGGGAGATACGTAAGAAAGATACGGGGAGTGGATAGGAAGGGTAGGAAGAAATAAGAGAAACTCGAACAAATGTTTTCAATACGTTGCATAAATCGCGTGTTTCTTCGTAAATTGAAATGGAAATGCATATAACCGTACGTACGGTATGGAAGCGGCTTTATTGTTCTATTCTTATTCCACTGATATTTCTATGCTATCTTTCCTTCTTTATGTATCGCGGCCCGGATATCGATCCTAAACGAGAATTTCTTTTAACCGTGGACCATCCTTTCTCCTTACAGATGTCATCGTCCTAGGGATAGTCTGTTCTCCTGGAGTTCGGGCTTCGACAACTTCACGGGATTCGTCAACTGGGGCTTCCTGTTGTTGGGCATCGGTGGAATCCGATTGCTTCTCGAAAATTTCATAAAGTAAGTATATATATATAT